GATGAGATAAGGAGATCTTATAGGACAAGGAGGGTCAGCCTCCCCTGACTTAAAGCTCTCCAACCTTCTTGAGGCACTAATGAGAACGTACTGTCTCCTGGGGGTATGACCGGGTCAGGGCTTCGGGTGGAGGGTTGGGGGAGAGTCTGAGCCAGGAACACTGGGCCCTCATTCTTCCTTCCCCCTTCCCCACCCCCCCAGTCTGGTTCTACTTTGGGGTCGTCGGCTCTTTTCTCTTCATCCTCATCCAGCTCGTCCTGCTGATCGACTTTGCACACTCTTGGAACCAGAGCTGGCTGTGCAAGGCTGAAGAGCGTGACTCTCGGTGCTGGTATGCAGGTTGGTGGTCAGCACTTCCTTCTTTCCCACCTCACCACGTACCTCAATGTTCCAGTGGGCCACAAAGATGCAAAAGGTCCTCCGCGCATTCATGCATGCACATGTAGCGAGAACACACACACACACACACACACACACACAGTGTCTCTTACCTAGGAAGTGCTGACAGGACTGGAATCCAGGTCTCCTGATTTCAAATCCATTAAGGGCTACCAGTTCTTTCAGAAGAATTAGGAATATGTCTTTTGTGTCTCTCTCCTATTTGTTCTCCTCTTCAAAGAATCACAGCATGTTAGAGTCAGAAGAAACCCTAGGGATCAGTGGTTCTTTTTTTGTTTGGGGGAGGGGTGAGGCAATCAGAGTTAAATGACTTGCCCAAGGTCACATAACTTTTTTTTTAATAGTATTTTCTTTTTTCTAATTACATGTAAAGATAGTTTTCCACATTCAGTTTTATAAGATTTTGAGTTCCAAATTTTTCTCTCTCCCATCCCCCCTCCCCAAGACAGCAAGTAATCTGATATAGGTTATACATGTGCAATAATGTTAAACATATTTCCACATAAGTCATGTTGTGAAAGAAGAAACAGAACAAAAGGGAAAAGCCACCAAAAAAAAAAAAGTGAGAATAGTATGCTTTCATCTGCATTCAGACCATAGTTCTTTCTCTGGATGTGGATAGCATTTTCCAGCATGAGGCTTTTGGAATTGTCTTGGAACATTGCATTGCTGAGAAGAGTTAAGTCAATCATACTTGATCATCTCACAATGTTGCTGTTACAGTGTATACCGTTCTCTGGTTCTGCTCACTTCACTCAGCTTCAGTCCATATAAGTCTTTCCAGGTTTTTCTGAGAGTGTTCTGCTGATCATTTCTTATAGCACAATAGTATTCCATTACATTCATATACCGTAACTTGTTCAGCCATTCCCCAATTGATGGGCATCCTCTCAGTTTCCAATTCTTTGCCACCATAGAAAGAGCTGCCACAAATATTTTTGTACATGTGGGTCCTTTTCCCGTTTGTATGATCTCTTTGGGATACAAACCTAGCAGTGCTATTGCTGGGTCAAACGGTGTGCACAGTTTGGTTGCTCTTTGGGCATAGTTCCAAATTGCTCTCCACAATGGTTGAATCAGTTCACAGTGGTCATGTAGCTTTTAAGTATCAGAGATACAATTTGAACTCTGCTCTTCTAGACTTTGAGTTAGGCATGCCAGCCATTCCCATGTTGCCTCAGTCAAAATTATTAACATTATCTATGTTTTATTATATTTTTCTTTATCTTATTAAATATTACCCAATTAATTTTTGTTTTCCTGAGGCAATCAGTGTTAAGTCCAGGGTCACAGCTAGTAAGTGTCCAAAGTTGCATTTGAACTCAGGTCTTCCTGACTCCCGGGCTGGTGCCCTACCCACTGCCCCACCCACTTCCCCTAGAGATCATTGGTTCTTAAAATACCCGTTGAATTTGAGGTGGTATGCTAGATAGAGTCCTAGACTTGGAGTCAGGGAGAACTGAGTTTGAATCCTTCCTCAGATATTCTCTAGCTCTGTAACTGTGGGAAAATCCCTTAACCTCTCTCCACCTCAGTTTCCTCATCTGTAAAATGGAGCTAACAAGAGTGCCTACCTCACAAGATTGTTGTGAGGATCAAGTAAGATAATATTTGTAAACTGCTTTGAAAACCTTAAAAATGTTAATTATTATAATTATATGTTAAAACAATGTAACAAGAATAGGAATGTAACATAGAAACAGTGCTAGTATAGTGAAATGAGGTGTGGGTTTGGGGATTATTTCATCCCCCGAATAAAGTAGACCTAGGAAATTTTAAAATAGAAAGGAAATTAAGTCTGTTTTCATGCCAACAGCTATAAGCATTTTCCATGCATTCCTAATTCGGTATCTAATATTTCAAAGTGGAAAATGTCTCTGATACTGAAATGCTCCTACAGAGAACTCCTATTGGCGTTCTACGGAGCAGAACTAGGAAACATTTGGGAGATTCCATACCCTGAAGGAATCTGAGGCCCAAGGAGGGGCAGGGCCTAGACGAGGCAGCATGTTATAGTGGAAAGCACTGGCTTTGGAGTCAGGAGCTGGGTTCCAACCGTGACTCGGTCACCACTGACCCTGAGCAAGTCGTGCCTGGCACCTCGGGGTGGGTTTTGATGATTGTTCAGGTTCCTTTCAGATCTGAAGTCCATGCCTCCATTAGGGGCAGAGCCAGGCCTGGCTCTGGTCCCTGGACTCCCGGCGCAAACTTCCTTTTGCCTCTCCTTCTCCAGGCCTCTTCTTCTTCACCTTCCTCTTTTATGGAATAGCCATCACTGCCATAGTTCTCATGTACATCTACTACACCCATTCGGGAGCCTGTTATGAAGGCAAGGTCTTTATCAGCCTCAACCTCGTCTTCTGTGTCTGTGTCTCCATTGTGGCAGTTCTACCCAAGGTCCAGGTGAGCCCTGCTTTACCTTTTCTGGGATCCGAGGCTAGGAAGGAGGGGCCTTAGAACAAAGAATGCAAAAGCTGGTGAGGACCATAAGAGGAATAGACGTGAAAGGACTCGAAGAATATGGAATAAGATGTCAGAGCTGAGAGGGCCCTCAGAACACAGAGTATCAGAGCCGAGAGGGCCCTCAGAACACAGGATGTCAGAGCCGGGAGGGCCCTCAGAGCACAGGATG